TGGATTCCTAGAGAGAAAGTGAATGTGTTATATTGCAAGGTAGATTTCATCAACTCTTCATGTTAAACATGTAGAGATTGAATCTGAGAATTTTATTAACGTGACCAAAATCACAGATAGGGAAGTTGGGAACTCAACCATGGGTGGCCTGACTCCAGGGCAAGGGGTCTGAAGCTAGTATGACAGGTTCAGTATGACTCTGCTACCATTTACCTTTTCAATGAACAGTTCTTGGTTTTGTGGGTTTTCTTAAATTTTAAAACAGGGGGAAAAAAAAACCAAACTATAGAAACTAAGTGACCAAACTCTGTTTTCTCCTTTATTTTCTATATGCTGTTTCTTCTTACAAGCACTCAAGATCACATATTTGATTTACATCTTTAGGCTCTGGAAACCATGGAGACAATTTGAAAAAGCTTGAGAGGTTAGAAAGCACTTGTACCGAAGCCACTCCCTGGTCCAGGTTTTGTTCCCTTGCAGTTTTACAGTAAATTATGAAGCTTTTCTACGAATGGGGTTCAATGGGAAAGTGCTGAGTCATTTTCATGATTGCATCGATTCCACACAGGGGTATCACGATAATGTTTAAGGAAGTCAAACAGTCACTATGTGTTCTTTAATTCATATCTCAGATCGATGGAATTATTATCTATGTGCATCTGTTAAAGTGATTCATGCTGCTCAGATACTGGGTACGTTCATTCCTCATCTTGTCTCAGATACAGGACTGGAAGTTTCAGAAGTCTCCACTGCTAAGTCCTGCAAGTCAGTGGATTAGTAGCATCTTAAGTTTAAGATACAAACTTTCTTTCAACTAGTAGTTCTTCAGGTTCCACAGTAGCAGCAACAGCTGAAATGGCAATCACCATGTCAAAGTCATGAGAATCACAGCAGTCAGAGAATAACTTTGCATGTGAGAAAAAAAGGAATTACTCTATACTTCGGTCACCATTTCCTTTACCAAGTACTTTTTTAAATGAATCTGTGCCAAGTGGGGCTCAAGCCAAAGCTTCTCTCCTTCACGGCTCACCTTTCCTTAGTTAAAATGTTAAAGTCCTGACAGCACCACCGTTTCCACAGCATTGTGGTGTGTGGTTAACAAAGACAACCAGCAATTACTCAGTGAGGAGAGTAAAGAAGCAGAGGGGATGCGGAGCTCAGTGATGGCTAGTAGCAGAGTCTACACCAGGCGTCCCCAAACTACGGCCCGCGGGCCACGTGCGGCCCCCTGAGGCCATTTATCCGCCCCCCCCTCCACTGCACTTCAGGAAGGGGCACCTCTTTCATTGGTGGTCAGTGAGAGGAGCACAGTCTGTGGCGGCCCTCCAGCGGTCTGAGGGACAGTGAACTGGCCCCCTGTGTAAAAAGTTTGGGGATGCCTGTACGCTTTCTAGAAATATGAACTACTGATCCCCATTTAGTCATTTGCTTACAGTACACACTAGGTAATGTCTGCTCTGCTCTCATGCCATGACAGCTGATCCTTTATTAATAACATTCTTAGCACTGATGAAGCTGAAAAGATAGGCAGACATGGCTCCCAACTTCCTGGGAGAGTTAAGAAAGGGGCACCAGAAGAGGAACCAGGAGGTGGATCTTTCAAGCAGTGAGAGGACAGAAAAGAAAAATTAGGGATAGCAACAAGTTTTGGTAAATGATACATAACTTATACAAGCTCTGAAAATCAACTGGTGTCACAGGGACCTAGTTTTATCTGCTTTCATCCCATGGCAAGTTAATAATGTATACATACGTAAAATTTATGCTCACTCATATGCAAAGCTCATTACTAAAACAACATTAACCTGGTAGCCACCTAAAAGGGAGACCCCTGAAATCGATAAACCATTGCTTAAATGGCAATATTAACTCGGTGTGTTTTCACTTAGCTGCATTGGTAATCATGTTAGGATGAACAGGTGAAAACTAAAAACGCAGCAATGTCAACAATGGGGGTGGTTTAACGTCACCACCCACCCATGCAGTAATTTTAATGTTTCCTGAATCTAGGATACTCCATTCTCATTCGTAAGGGAACTTTACTGTGTTCTGGCATTGATCTTGCTATTTTCTTATAGACTCAATAAAATTGAAAAGGAAAGTGGCACCCTCAAGGACATTCCAACCAACACTTCTACAAATTTTGAGTTGAGTTGGGATCACAGAAAACATGAAAAATGCAAGTAACGGTCCCTACCTACACAGCAAATATCTGTAGGATTTTGACGAGTAAACACATTCTGATTGTGTGAGGACTGTGTTAGTCCAGACAAATTTTTCTGCTGAGGATTTAAAGGAAACACTGCCAAATAATTATTACTTGGAAGTAACAAGTGCTTTTTAGATCAAGTTATTTTTTTCCTTAGTACGGCAGTCCTTCTTCCAAATGTATGGAAGAACAGGTAATTCATAGCAGCATAGTAGAAATAATGTAAAAACAAAAGGAGCAATTCTGCATTTTCTCTGTTGGAATATTAGATCTATTCTACAGGTAATCAACTTTTCCTTCGCGTAAAGTGTTCTATTTTTCAGGGAGGGTGAGCTCTTCAGCCGGCAGATGTCAAGCAAAGCCATTTCTTAAGTGGGCTCTTTGTACAATGTGAAGTGGTTTCCTTCACATTAGGCAGAGCTAGATGTGCTGTGGCCCAAAGGACGGGACAGCTAAAGCAATTTCTCATGTGACTGACTGTCCAGGGGAGAGCTCACGTGAAAACATGAGCATGAGTGTAAGCTACCAAGGTCTTATTTTCTTATTGAGATAACAGTTTTGAATGCTTGGTTGACAGAGTTGTCAGGTTTCCAGAGTGGTCTTAGCTATCATAATGTTAAAAATGAGTGCAAATTAAAACTACAGTAACATATCCAACTACAGCTTTATAATATTTCCACACATGCACTGATGATACAGTTCTGTAATCTGACATTTTTCAATGTGTCTTCATAAGAAATGACACCACAATACTATTATTTCTCTCTTGGTTCAGTAAATCTACGGGAAGAAAGAGAAGCCTACTTCTCTGGGGGTGATTCTAATAGTTACAACCATTTGTAATGATTATAAATTTTGAGATCATGAAATGCAAAGGTAACCACAGAGATAGAAAACCCAGACCAGGGACTGAACAAACCTGCTTCATTATTTGATATAACCTGCTTCTGATCACATATGAAATACCTACACAGCACCTAATACACATTCATAGTAGGGAAGCAATAAATAACTGGAATTCCTAGTAAGAATAGTAATAATATTAGGAGTATCATGACTATTACTTCAGATTCTAGATGTAAAAAATAAAATCTCATCTTTTGCTTTGCTCACATGGATATTACTGTGCTAAGAACATGCTATTCTAATCAATGCACTATGGGGGGAAAAAAAAGTCATTTTATTGGAATCACACTAAGAAACATACCCCAAACACTACATGACTAGTCTTTCCATGGAGCAAATTCCTACCTTTCCTTTTAACAGTTTAATATGATCTTTTTATGACTGTGTTGAAATGTCTTTTACATTCACTTTCCATTTTTCGGTGGTATTGAAATCAGGAGACAAGAAGGAGGGCTAATATCTCTTCATTTTTAGCTCCATGGTAATTCTTCTGGCTTTTACAAAACTATCAAGGGTTTTTGAGTGTGGTTGTTGTATGTTGGTTTTAATCATGTATTTATAAGCATAAAAACTGACAATGGCAGCTTTATATATTTGATGGTTTCAACTAACTGAGAATGTGGTATGGGTGAAAAGCAGTGAGTAGAACTCATTTCAGGTATTAGAGCACAAACTTAAAACTTTCTCCCAGCTGCCTCTTTGCTGCCTGAGCCTAGATAGGAACAGCCAGAGGTAACTGTTCCAGCCATGCGGCTTGCTTGGAAATACAGATGTCAGAGCAGTGACCCAGAGAGAGGGGACTCTGCCAGCAAAGGGAACCCTGACTGGCTGATTCCTGCATTTTTTTCTTGTGACACCCTCTCTCCTACCCAAATCCTTTCTGATACCTATACCAACTTCCAAAGTCATGACCCCTTTTACAGACTGAAATCCAGGACAGTCCACAATCTCTACAAGTGAGCAGAACAAAATTCTGCCTGCATCACTGTATCTGATTTGTAGCTCTGCTCACGATTACCTGACAAACCACTTAACCTCGCCATGCTCCAGTTTCTTTTGTAACCCAGAAACACAATACTGTAGAAATCTCTCTCCTGGGATTGTTCTGAGCAGTAATTACATAAGTATGTATATGCATATTTATAGATATATGTGTATATGTATGTGTGTATGTACTTTAGCTTATGAGATGCTCTAGCTATATTTAAAGATAAAGTCGGAATAATTGAATAAACCTACAGTTGTAATGGGTCTGCTTCTACAAGGCTGCTAGTATTAAACAGCACAAATTACAGCTGGTCTTCCCAGGTCTCTACCCCTGGGCTTTGCCACTCACTTGCTATGTAACTGCCACTTTGGAATGTCTCTGCCTCCACATTCATCTTTAAAATAATCTGAAGTGATGAACTCCCTAGCAGGGCATAGAGGGGAAAAAGGGGGGAAAAAAAAGCTGAGGGATTTAATAAGCGTAATTGAAAAAACAAATAACAGACAGGATCCAACTCTCAAAGACACAGTTGTTATTCCTATTCATATAAATGCAAATTCAGCCCAAGAGTAAAACCATATGAAATTCTCTGATTTAAGGCATTTGCCTAGTAATAAGCACAGACATTTTTTCTGGTTTTAGTCAACCGAATAAAGAACAGGTTTTAGGAAATGCTCACAACCTTGCCTTGAATTATTTGTATACGGCTTCTATAATTTAAATTGCTGGGGTTATCTATGGATTACGGCAGTCAGAGTTTGGCCATAAACCTTCCAAGTAATGGTGTCTTCCTGAGAGCCCCTTCTAACAAATATTTCTAAACTGTTTTCCTTGACTCATTGCCAATAAAATGGATGGAAACGCTTTCAATTCTCTCTTTTTCTTTCTTGGTCATAGCTTCAGAAACCTAGCGCTGCTTGATTCCCTTCAGTTGCAGATATTGGTGGCTGGAATCAAGGGCCAGGCCCAGAAAAGTTTCACAGAAGGGACATACGTAGGGCCAAATTGGACCCTCCAATTCACACCGTGTATCTCTGAGATGTGTGGTAAGTGTCTGAGGTACTGATAATGCTGCAGCCAAGACGGTAAAATAGAGCCAACACATCACTCGTTGTATCAGAAGCTGCTGTCGCACCCTAACGCCAACTGTGCTGCAATGCATATTGCTCAGGCCATGGGCGCTATGCATTTTAATTGCACATGCTGCAATTAAAACTTAGGGTTTACAGAAATTGTTGCATTTCTCCTGTTTCCAGTTCATTACATCTCTGCATCCTTCGACACAAACATATAACAACTGCAGTAACATGCATAGAATCCAACGGACTGTTTGCAAGCACCTTCCACTTAAACAGAAAGAAATACATCACCGCCAAAGAGAAAGCCTTGGTGGGAGATACAGATAATATACAAATTAGAGCTGCTGTACAACTCCAGGGGGCATCATCTATTCACCACATTGTGAACTGTTCCCCCTGGAGTTGTGCAATGAAAACATCCTATAAGATCATAGATATCCTAGAGAAATCTTACTAGAGAAAAACTGACTCAGATATGTTAGAAATGTCCATCTGGGAGACCTTAAGTTCCAATTCTACTGTCCTCTAGGCCTGACTTTTTTCACATTAAAGAGATCCCACTTTTCTCACATTATCTCCAGCGTTAACTCTAGTTCTGAAAGTCTGTGATTCAAAGAGTTAAGGCCAATTTTCATTTATCAAGTGGTAATGTTGGATGTAAATGTTTCCCCATTTCTAAGCAGTGCTCTTGTAACTCGTGTTGCATTAGTGAAAACGGGAAACTTTCAAATAACCCTTAACTGTTTTCCAGTGGGCCTTAGGAAAGAGGTTAAGTCTCTGGATTGCTTGCCCCATTCAGTTTGTTTTGCAACTAATGAAAATACTGCAAACAATATAGGCAGAATGAAATCATAAAGAAAAGGAAAGCTTCATTTAAGCAATATAGGCAGTATTTCAAAAATGATCCTAGGAGGTTTGCTTCCCCCAACCTGGAGACACTTTTTTAGGCTAAACAATAAAGTCTGCTTTAAATCAAATGCAAACAAAGCAATGTCCTTGATTTGGGGTAGTATTTTTCAAATTTGTATTTAAAACTGTTTCCTACGACATTTTCTCAAACTATCTTTTGCGTATCACCAAATTCTTTACTGAGTTTTGTCAGTTGATTTATAAATTTAATGAACATCCTAAAGAAACCTTTTTGTTAAAGTTCCCATGCTCCTCTTCACTCCTCTGGTCCAAGATTCTCAGACCATATCATGCTCTTCCAACACCCACCCCCAAGCCCCTGCCACCATCCAGGAAAAAAAATTTCTTATATCCACATTAGCCTATTGAAGTGTGAGCTGAGCTTGGCTTTCTGACAGGAAAGACTGGGTTTATTACATTCCAGCAGAATCAGCAGCTACTTTAAAGACTATAATCCAGTGGCACTGTGCTTACAAACCACAAGCTTTTGTTTTAGAAAAATAAACAGAAGGATGATGCTTACAATTTTGTAAGTCATCCCAATTTCAAGTATTGGGCATTGGACCGACAGCCTGACTTGGGCTGTATACAGCTACAGAGTATTTAGATCAATTAGATGAATGGAATTTTGTAACAAAAGTCAACAAGATCATGAGAGAAATTCAAACATAAATTAGGAAAATGAAAATGAAACACACACCAACGTACACACATCCTAGTCTATAACTAGAAACATCTAAAAGAGAAGACACAGGTCTATAGCCTTGTAAGGCAGGCAACATATACTCCGTTCTAAAAGAGAATAGGGATACATTCTCTCAGTTTTCAGGCTTCCTATCCAAACGTTAGCTTCACTTGGGCAGTCCTGCTGTTACATCCATTTAAATCTTCACCCACTTCTCTTTTTGGCACAGGGGAGGGAAAAGTGTTTCTCCTAACTTTATATCCATTATATTGCACTGTGAGGACCTGTTTTTGTTCACCATTAGAGCCCCCATGACTTGCATTTTGCATGGCACATAGTAAATGCTCAGCAAATAACTTGTTGAATGTTGAATTAAAGATTTGATTTTCGTTCTTTCATCACACACCTATTGAATGCCTCCCACAGGTTCTCTTTTGCATAAGCAGTCAATCAACATGTATGTGAATCACAAAGCAGTTTCAAGTAAAGGTCAGCTTTTCAAATGAGAAAACACTTAGATGGACCAGCAGAACCTTCTGTATTCTCCAAGATCACAATGAGTTAAAGCAAAGTTCACGGCATTGAAAACTCATTGTAGTGTTGAGATACTTTTCAGTCAGCTAGGAAACTGACAGCTGGTCAACACTGAAACTCCCATGGGAAATTTGGTACTTGGGCTACATCAAGTTGAGTCTCAAAATCTTAACATGTAGGATTAAAAATGAAAATAAAAAGCACAGAAATAACTGTTTGTCCTTATACTTTTTGTGGAAAAAGAGACATAACTTCCTTTACCCCTCTTTCTATTGAGTATTAGCATTGATCTTACATTCTTAGGATCCTAGAAAACTATTTTGCCTCCATTCCCTATAAAGAAAGTTTTCTAAAAATGTATGTCTAATCTCTTCCTTGCATGCTTGAAATATTCCCAATTGTCTTCAACATAAAGTCAAGATTCAAAGCATGATTTATCAAACGCTTGATGATCTCACTCTATCTTTACTCTGCCAGCGCATGCCCTCACATTCTGTCCAATAATAACTACCAACATTCCTAAATTGAAGTGTAATACTTTGAAATTCCCAATCATGTATTGCTTTTTCTCTCCTTCTTGTCCTCTCTGTACAATAACGCCCCTTTCCTTACCCACCCCAAACTTATTTCCTACACACACACACACACACACACACACACACACACACACACACACACGCATTTTACAAGGCTAACTTCTATCCCATAATCTGGGGTAGGGTAGGTGTCCCTCTTAGATATACGCTACACTGTCAAATCTCATGTGTCCACTCACCCCTACCCTGAAGGTTTGTAAATTCTTGGAAGGCAGAGTGTAAATGTCTCTGGATCCCTAACATACGGCAGAATGCTTGGTACTTCATAAGGACTCAGTAAAAATGAATGAAATACACCACATTTTCTCTACCCATTCATCCATTTATGGACACTTTCGTTGATTCTATATCATGGTTTTGTGAATAATTATATCATTTGCGGCAACATGAAGCTGGAAAACATCATGCCAAGGGAAATCAGTCAGACAGACACACACACACACATACACACACACACACAGAGCCATGTGCTCTCTTATATGCAAAATCTAAAACAATCAAATTCATAGAAGCAGAGAGTAGAATGGTGGTTACTAGATGCTGGGGATGACAGAAATGAGTCTGTGTTGGCCAAAGGGTACAAAGTCAGATAGGACAAATAAATGATAAGTATTTAAGGTGGGTGGATATGTTAAATAGCTTGATTCTCTCATTCCACATTGTATACATACATCATAACATTAGGTGTACCGCATAATTATATATATTGTAATCTGTCACAAAAATTTTTGAATGAATGGAATAAATGAACAAATATAACCAGGCCTTTATTTGTTCATACTTTCAAAATATTCTTCATGGATTTATTACTGAACCCATCTACCCAATCCATAAAATGAAACAAAGTGACCAAGAATAATCAAATTGCTTCCAAAAGATTGATAGTGGTCTTTTATTGGTAGCTTGCCATGTGTAAGGTTTTCAACTGGACACTAAGAAAATATGTGTATCATCCCACGTGCTTATTCTCCCAGGCAGTTTTCTCCTTTGCCAGTTTCCTCTCTGGGACATGTGTATTCTTGACATTTTTCATGCGAGTACTGTAGGAGATGGGATGATTATGCTTGGAGTTTGTGAGGAGTCACGGTAAACAATGTGACAAGCAAGTATCCCAGTGTCGGCAGGACTGTGACAGACAAAATAAGAGACTGAGAGACAGACTGAGCACTATTCAATGACAACTGCTAAATGGCTCTTCATGAACTATTCATTCACTCACAGACCTGGAGATGCTATCATTCTACCAAATTACCACACTGCATACACATGTACACAGATAGCCTCCTACACACTGTGAGTACAGTTGGCTGCTTCTACGAGTAGAAAATCCATGGGATGCTTGCCCTAGTTTATGCAGGTCAAATGAATATTACCATGTTACAAATGTCTCTGATTCAATCCATTCAACAAAAATGTGTTGAGCAAGTAACTTTGTGGCTTCAAGTGATGTGGGTAAAAAAGTACTCTGGATATAAATTTTCTGACTAAAGCAAATATTTTTTATTGGACAACTATTGCAATATAGACTCAAATAAAAATGCAAACAGATTCTCAGAGGTCACAGTATTTTTGTAAAGTAATATATTATACATGTTTAGTATATATTATTTAGTACATTATAGTGTGTATATATATAATATATAATTTAGTATAATAAACAGTATAATTTTGCTTAAGGAAAGATATCCTCATGGAGTATTTTTTTACTGTCTCACAAGTTCATTTATGAAATATCTTACTATTTGCTACTGTACAAGTTTTGATACTGAACTGTCAATTTTAAGTTGCTTAAGAGCTAGAAGTGATTAAGTGAGTGAATCTGGGGTTACTTCTTTCAAAAATCCACCGTTCGTTCTCAGTGTTGTTTGAGAGACAAATTAGCTGTCTAGCCTTTTTGCAAAACTCACATTAAAACTTCCATTGGGGAAAACTCTCATAATTTCTAAAATGAGCACTTTTAAATTACATCTATAGATCTTCCTTGCATGAATGGATATCTGGCTTCATATCTAGCGATGCTTGCTGCAATGCTGCCTCATAAAATTTAGCAGCTATATAATCAATTACATGTTTTTATTGTACTTTAGGTTCTGAGGTACATGTGCAGATCATGCAGGATTGTTGCATAGCTACACACATGGCAATGTGGTTTGCTGCCTCCATACCCCGGTCACCTACATCTGTCTTTTCTCCCCATGTTATCCTTCCCACACCTCTATACCCCACCCCCTGCTGTCCCTCCCTTGGCCCCCCACAACAGACTCCAGTGTGTGATGTTCCCCTCCCTGTGTCCATGTTTTCTCATTGTTCAATACCCGCCTATGAGAGAGAACATACAGTGTCTGAACTTCTGTTCTTGTGTCAGTTTGCTGAGAATTATGGTTTCTAGATTCATCCATGTCCCTACAAAGGACACAAACTCATCATTTTATATGGATGCATAGTATTCCATGGTGTATATGTGCCACATTTTCCTTGTCCAGTCTATCGTCAATGGCATTTGGGTTGGTTCCAGGTCTTCGCTATTATAAACAGTGCTGCTATAAACATACATGTGCATGTGTCTTAACAGAATGATTTACAATCCTTTGGATATGTACCCGGTAACGGGATTGCTGGGTCACATGGAATTTCTATGTCTAGATCCTTGAGGAAGCACCACACTGCCTTCCACAATGGCTAAACTAATTTACACTCCCACCAACAATGTAAAAGTGTTCCTACTTCTCCACATCCTCTCCAGCATCTGTTGTCTCCACATTTTTTAATGATTGCCATTCTAACTACCATGAGGTGGTATCTCAAAGTGGTTTTGATTTGCATTTCTCTAATGACCGGTGATGATGAGCATTTTCTCATGTTTGTTGGCCTCATAGATGTCTTCTTCTGAAAAGTGTCTGTTCATATCCTTTGCCCACTTTCGGATGGATTTGTCTTGTAAATCTGTTTTAGTTCTTTGTAGATTCTGGATATTAGCCCTTTGTCAGATGAGTAAATTGCAAAATTTTTTTCCCATTCTGTTGGTTGCTGGTTCACTCTAACGATTGTTACTATTGCTGTACAGAAGCTCTGGAGTTTAATTAGGTCCCATTTGTCTATTTTGGCTTTTGTTGCCAATGCTTTTGGCATTTTAGTCATGAAGTCTTTGCCTATGCCTATGTCCTGAATGGTTTTGCCCAGGTTTTCTTCTAGGGTTTTTATGGTGTTAGGTCTTATGTTTAAGTCTTTAATCCATCTGGAGTTAATTTTAGTGTAAGGTGTCAGGAAGGGGTCCAGTTTCTGCTTTCTGCACACTGCTAGCCAGTTTTTTGAACACCATTCATTAAACAGGGAATCCTTTCCCCATTACTTGTTTTTGTGAGGTCTGTCAAAGATCAGATGGTTGTAGATGAGTGTCGTGGCCTCCAGGGCCTTTGTTCTGTTCCATTGATCTATATCTCTGTTTTGGTACCAGTACCATGCTCTTTTGATTACTGTAGCCTTGTAGCATAGTTTGAAATCAAGTAATGTGAGGCCTCCAGCTTTGTTCTTTTTGCTTAGAATTGTCTTGGCTATGCGAGCTCTCTTTTGGTTCCATATGAAGCTTAACGTGGTTTTTTCCAGTTCTGTGAAGGTGGTCATTGGTAGCTTGATGGGGATAGCATTGAATCTGTAAATTACTTTGAGCAGTATGGCCATTTTTACAATATTGACTCTTCCTAACCATGAGCATAGAATGTTTCTCCATTTGTTTACATCCTCTCTTATTTACTTGAGCAGTGGTTTGTAGTGCTCCTTGAAGAAGTCCTTTACCTCCTTTATTATATTCCTAGGTATTTTATTCTCTTTGTAGCAACTGTGAATGGGAATTTGCTCATGATTCAGCTCTCTGTGAGTCTGTTATTGGTGTATAGAATTCCTTGGGATTTCTGCACATCGATTTTGTATCCTGAGACTTTGCTGAAGTTGCTTATCAGTTTAAGGAGATTTTGGGCTGAGATGATAGGGTCATCTAAATATACAATCATGTCCTCTGCAAATAGAGATAATTTGACTTCTTCTTTTCCTAATTGAATGCCCTCTATTTATTTTTTCTTGCCTGATTGCTCTGGCTAGAACTTCCAATACTATATTGAATAGGGGTGGTGACAGAGGGCATCCTTGTCTAGTGCTGGATCTCAAAAGGAATGCTTCCAGTTTGGGCCCATTCCATATGATATTGGCTGTAGGTTTGTAATAAATAGCTTTTATGGTTTTGAGATATGTTCCTTTGATACCTAGTTTATTGAGATTCTTTAGCATAAAGGGCAGTTGAATTTTACCAAAGGACCTTTCTGCATCTATTGAGATAATCATGTGGTTTTTGTCTTTGGTTCTGTTTATGTGGTGGATTATGTTTATAGACTTGCATATGTTGAACCAGCCTTGTATCCCTGGAATGAAGCCTACTTGATCGTGATGGATAAGCTTTTTGATGTGCTGCTGCAATTGGTTTGCCAGTATTTTATTGAAGATTTTTGCATCTATGTTCTTCATGAATATTGGCCTGAAGTTTTCTTTTTTTTTGTTGAGTCTCTGCCAGGTTTTGGTATCAGGATGATAATGGTCTCATAAAATGATTTGGGAAGGATTTTCTCTTTTTGGATTATTTGGAATAGTTTCTGAAGGAACGGTACCAGCTCCTCTTTGTAAGTATGGTAGCATTCAGCTGTGAACCCGTCTGGACCTGCACTTTTTGGTTGGTAGGCTATTAATTGCTGCCTCAAATTCAGCCCTTGTTATTGGTCTATTCAAGGTTTCAACTTTTTCCTGGTTTAGGCTTGGAAGGGTGCAAGTGTCCAGGAATTTATCCATTTCTTCCAGGTTTGCTGATATATGTGCATAGCGTTGTTTGTAGTAATCTCTGATTGTAGTTCGTATTTCCGTGGAAATACGATGATGTCCCCTTTATCATTTTTTATTGCATCTAT